GCAGGAAACACCCGTGTTTGCCCTCCCTCTCCTTCTACGCTCAGACAAGTGGGCTCAAGAGCTTTTCCAGCATACTGTCCATTGGGAATTTAAGTGCACTTCTTGTAGTTATACTCTAAATGACAGGTAAAGGTTTCAAGCCTTGTAATTTTAAATCATTTGTATTTGGTAATTAAACAGCTTTTGATTTAGTAGATTTTTTTTTGGTAACACAACCCTCCTTTTGTCTTGCAGTGTTGAGAAGTCTCTTACAACGTTCACTCAGATTCTGAATGACTGGCACCCACTAAAAGCCATCCACCGCACTCAGTGCAGTAACTGCAACCGTAGAAACCAGAGGAGGAAAATGGTGCTTGAAAAGTAAGTTGAAATAACTCTAAATTTACTTTTTTTTTCTCTTATCAACACCTTGTTTCATCACAATTTAACCTCATGGTCTTTGTGGTTGGTTGATATTTGTCTTTGTTCATTTTTGCAGGCTGTCCTCTGTGTTTGCACTGCACTTTGTGGAGGGCTTGCCCAGGAAAGACCTCTCTAAATACTCGTTCGAGTTCCAGGGCGCACGCTACAATGTTAGCACCGTTATCCAGTACAATAAGCGTCTAAAGCACTTTGCCACTTGGATCCGCCAGAGCAATGGTGAGTCTTTTATTCTGTGAGTTTGTTAGCTGATCTACTTACACTATTCAATTCAAAAGTCTAGAGTCTTTTTCCTTACTTTTATTCAGCAAGGAAACATTGTCACAAAGACATTTATAATGTTAGAAAAGATTTCTATTTCAATTAAATGCTTTTCTGTTAAAGGGCACCTATTATGCCCCTTTTTACAAGATAGAATATAGGTCTCTGGTGTCCCCAGAATGTGTCTGTGAAGTTTCAGCTCAAAATACCACACAGATCATTTATATCATTTTGAAAATGCCTATTTTGAGTGGAAGCAGAAACACGCCGTTTTCGTGCATGTATTTTTAAATACAAATTAGCTGCTGCTCCCCGCCCCTTTTCCAGAATAGGGCTGTGCATTTACAGCTCATACCTCAAATACTCTGCCAAAAAACAACAACATTTGTTTGGTTTTGATTATCATGTATATCATGCTGAAATCGTGCGTTTTAAAGCCATATCAGTTTAAACTTCTGATACAGTGTTTTCTGAGCGCACACATCCGACGCACACACACAGAAAGTGGCTGTCACACGGCATGTGAGCACTAAACCAAGTTATCTTTCATGTCTTATTGCACTTAAACTGTCAAATACACACAAGTTTGTTAAAAGCACACGTACGTAACAAGAACACAGTCGGTTATGTTTGTGAAGGTAAACAGCTGGGAAAGAAAATCTCATGTTTATATTAGATCTGTGTATGAAGTGACAGCAGCGCAGTGGGTGGAAACGTGCAGATTAAGGGAGTGAAGTTTGAGCGGCTCGTTTTTTTCACATTGTTCTAGAACAGGGGTAGGCAAGTTCGGTCCTAGAGAGCTCGCAGTCCTGCAGAGTTCATCTCCAACCCTGAAAACAAAACTCACCTGAAAAAGCTTACCCGGGGACCTGATTATAGCACTTTAAACACGAAAAAAAAAGAAGAGATTTTCATGATATGTCCCCTTTAAAATTTTTATCTAAGTTTTCACTAAAATATTAAACAGCAAAACTGTTTTCAACATTGATAAGAGGAGAAATGTTTCTTGAGCACCAAATCAGCTTATTAGAATGATTTCTACATTTTAAAATGTTGATTGATTTGTAAAATGTATTTACATTTAAATTGAAATATAAATAAGTGTTGGGCGATATGGTCATTTTTCAAATCGTCATATTGCCAGTCCATGAGCTCGCGGATAGATGATATTATCGTGCATGGGTGGGTGGGGGCAAGAGAGAGACTCTCTGTACTTGTCATAGGCTATTTCATAACTATTTGGTGTTTTAATCTGCACGCGCGTGAGAGAGGGAGCCTATGACGGAAGTTATCAGTCTGGTCTGCAAAATCAGTCAACTGTGATAAATCAAAAGTAGATTTATTAAGACCAACATTTTAACACTAAATATTGGACATAAACAAACACATTAAATATAAAGTATTTAAAACAGTTCATATATTTGGAGTAAATTTTAATTAGACATATCAGGTCATACAGTGCTCCGGACCACGCGCCCCATGTTGAGCCCGACGCACCACCACAGAAGCAAGAATGAGATGCGTTCTAACATAACTGTGGCATTAAACTCAGTTAGTGAGGGCTCAGTTAAAATATTGCACATATATAGGCCGTTCAGATTACTTGTTAAAGTGCAACGAAATACCTTATATCAGCAGACGATATGGGTCTGTGTTTGGAGACTCCTTCACCGGCTACAGGATCCTCATTTGCGCGCGCGCGTGTGCGTGCGTGTGTGTGTGAGAAATACAGTGCTGAATGAAAAAGCGGGGCAATTTGATAATAATAGCCGAATTATAATGGGCCGCCTAATAATAATAATTATTATTTTTATTATTATTATTATTAATACATTAATAGGAGAATGAGCCTAATATCGTCTTGACTATCGACAAAGACATCTGTTATCGTCGATATCTCTGACTATCGTCGATACACGATACTATCGTCTATCGGCACAACCCTAATTATATAGTTGTTCTTCTGAATCCCATTAGCCAATTAATAATTTTAATGTTGCTAAAAACACCATATTTTTTCTGCTTAAACGTTACACTTCCGCATTGTTTTACTTGCATGTTACCAAAAATAAGCAAAAATACCACATTATCGACTGTTATTAAATAGATTTACAGCTAAATTTGCTAGTTAGTTATCGCCGATTACTTGCTCTGTAAAATGTTATTATTCAAATTTATACTTAATAGTGGTTCATTTACATGTTTGTGTTCTGTCTTTTAGGGTCATGGCTGGAACTCGATGATTTGAAATACCCTCACAGCATCACCCACAAGAGGTTTTCATTTCCTGCCAAAGAAATTCACATTGTCTTCTGGGAATCAGACTCCACTAAAGATGAAGTTTCAGAAGTTTGCTCACCGACAGCTCCCTCGGCACTCACGAATGTCGATGATAAGCACCCGCGCAAACTGTCAGACTCTGTGGCCAATGACACGTGTGTCATCAGCGCGCTCACCTTGGGAGACTCGATTACTGCCGGCGCTCTGGATACATCCATCGGCAGCACCACTTTACTGGACACCTTTGAGGGTCTGTCACATACAGACATTGTGACCCTCACTCTGGTTGATGAGAACAAAGCCACTGAGGCTCTTCAGATTCCCCAGAGCCCAGCCGTCGTCCCGGCCGCTCTCCCCAGTCTTCCTGTCGCATCTAGTTCATCTTGTATCTCCAAGTCCGTTTGTCAACCTTCAAACGCTCCAAAACCCCAAAGTTCTGGTTTGACGGAAGGATGTTCGGTTTCCAATCCAGTTGTGCTGAGACCGTCAGTGGCTACACAAGTACATGCACCGTCACCGCTTGCGTCCTCATTACTTCAACGCCATCCTTCCTTCCAGTCGACACCAATAAGACGTCCTCCTCCTGCTCCAAAACCCATTCTGAAATGTGACAACGAAGCTCTGCCAGCAAAGCCAGCTGACATGTTTGGTGGCTTCATAAGCATGAAATTGCCAAATTCAAGTGGCGTGAATCCTGCTGTAGAGCCTCAACACAAACCAATCACCCTTCCGTCGGTTAAGAAAAATCCAAGCCTTTTGGCAGACCAGCAGCCTATTACCACTACAGAATCCCTCAGACTGAAGCTACTGAAAAAGCTCAAGGCTAAGAAAAAGAAACTGGCCAAATTAAACCAGCTTTTGGGAAGTGCAGGAGAATCTGCACCGAAACCGGACAGCACGGCTCTTTCGTCGCCCTACTCTGTCACCTCTAGTACGTCGGCGTACGACAGTCCAGCATATGACCAGTTCTTCGCTGAGCTTTTGTCTCCTGCAACGACCGTCAGTAACCTCTCACCTGACAGCACGGGGCTCCTAGAGATGTTGAACAACGGCCAGAATGTGGAAAAGACCGTTGGAAGCGCACAGCAAAATCCTTGTGTAGCAACTGTGGTTCCAGAAGCAACTTTAACCTACCCTTCCTCTCCTAATGACTCTGTATTGAATCTTGATGAATACATACAATCAGGGATGGACCAGACTGCGATTGAGAACACCGATTTTAATGGCTTAGATATATTTTTCTGATCATGAATAGCTTTTAGATTTTACAAAATTAAAATTTGGTCTGATGTCAAAACAAGTTGTTCCTGAGAACTCTTCTTTGTAGTTTCATATTGGGAATGCAAGACTTTTGTTAGGAAAGCCTGTGGTACATCATCAGTTAAATGAATCCAGAGTTCATATTTTGTCTGATATACTTGAATAAAGAATATTAAAGGGTGCAGAGTAAGCGATGTTTGTTTGAAGAGCAGAGTATGCACAATGCATTTAAGGTTTGTACAGCATTGTACAGTTGTTTAATAATTTTTTTGTTGTTGTGGTCTTTTTTTATGGTTATCACTGCATTTAAAGCAGTTCATATTAAATGGTCCCAAAAACTGAATATGTTGTGGTTACTGGCATGTAATTTTGCCTGTGAGTGAAGAGTAAAACACTTCACTTTCAAACTGATTATATATGTGGTTCCTACACTTTTTGTTGGATAGGAATGTCATTTCTAACTAATAAAATATTTTAAAGCACTTGCACTTGATTATGAATTATAAGAGTATGAAAGTCTCTAATGCTTACCAAAGCTGCATATATTTGATAAAATACAGTAAAATTATTTGAATAGCATTTATTTGAAATAGAGTTCTTTAACAAGTCTTTACGGTCAATTTTGATCAAATTAATGCATCTTCAATGAAAAATAAATACTGCTTCAAACTTTTGAACAGTAGTGTAATTGGACATGTTTTTATCAGCAATTACATAAGCATTTCCATTCATTTTTATTCTAAACATTTCTCCAGGTTTTCCATGACACATGAAATCTGTACATTGTAAACAACTATGTGCTATCATTTTGCACTTTAAATTTCATGATCACATTACCATTATAAGGGAGTAATAAGTGTTCATATTTTAACAATGTCTCCTTTTTTGGGTGCAGTAGTGCTTTTTGCTTATAGTGGAGTACTTGAGACAAATTATTAATATAGTTGGACCCAGAACGTATACATTGCCTTAATTAAAAATAAATTTAAATAATAATAATCATGATCAATATTACAATATTCAAGTAACCATGTCAGTCCATTTTTAACTGGGCATGGAAAATGTGAATGAAAAAAAAAAATTCATTCAGTGAAAAGCTTCACTTTGTTCAGTTTTTGGTCTACTTAAAAAGGTCTTGAGTTTGGTTATTTTAAGAGTGTGAAAACAAGCAGTGGCCAAAAAAAGTATTTAGACACTTAAGGCTTAAATAAAAATGTATGCATGTATTATCTTTATAACAAAGCATCAAAACAAATGGCATTCGTTTTGAAGAAATAATAGCACAAGCACATTGTTCAATTAAAACTATAACTAAAATTTGTTGGTTATCAAATTAAACAGATACATTGTTAAAAATAAGACAAATGTCTTGGCTACTTTCTGGTTGTCAAACTGCAGAACATGTTTATTATTAAGATGAGGAACAACACTGATGGTTATGTTGTTGGGACATCTGTAAATTTGAGATCCACACACACACACACACACACACACACACAAAGACAGAGCAGTTGGTTAAAAATAATTGTAAAAAGCATCTCAAAGTTAAGTTGCATTTTTTTTATCTAACGCAATAAAATTGACATTTTAAAGTGTGACAAATACTTCGTGGGGCCACTGTAGTTAAGACTCAACATACTGTCTGCTAATTTATTTAGCATATGATATATTGACAGCTGAAATATCACAGGTGAAGTTCAGTTGTCTTGCTTTGTCAGCTTTTCTGTTTGAGTTATAGCAGTCATTTTGACCAACATAAATGTAAAGTTTCAAAACCAAAACAGCGCAGCACCAATATCTCAAATAATTACTTTAATGACAAGTTATATACAATAACCAAATTCACCAGGCTTGTTTAACTACATGAAATGTACTCCTTATATTTAGTGTTTAAATATAAAAGTGACAATACCATTTGGTCTGCTGGCTGGTTTAGAGTAGATTTCTTCAGTCCTGGATATAGAGGCCTCCTGAAAATGCACATCTTAGTTCCCCTATTTGACAAGCATTTCTTGAGATGTAGACACTGCTAATGAGCTGATGAGTTGATTCAGGTGAGTCAGATTAAAGAGACACCCAAAATATGCAGTGTTTGATGACATCCACAACCCGTATATATAGAGTGGAAGACCAGCTGAGACCAGCTAAGACCAGCAAAACGGTTTCAGCCAGCAGAGGGCAGTCTTTCACTGCGAGACCGTCAACAGACCGTCGGTTTCAACTTCACATTCAGATGGTTAAACTTTAGTTTATCCTAAAATACCAACTGATAGGATGAGCTGTGAGCTATGCAGCTATACCAGGAACAGGGTTTCCACACTCACACAGTACAAAATGTGCCATTTCTTCATGAAGCAGAAGTGACCCTCCCATAAGGAAACGCATCAGTTTAGCGGTGATGTTATCTGTGATGCTAAAATGATCAGACAGCAGTCTGAGACAGACCGGCAGTTCATACTAGAGAACATGTTTGTTGCCGTGATGGACAACATTTTCTTACTGGTGCTGGTCACACTTCTCAGCGTCGTTCAGAATGGTATGACATTTAGATTTTATTATTATTATTTTGGATACTTGAATGATGTTTATGCAGAAGGTGTATGCAAATTATCTTTGAACACACTGCTGTGTTTATACAACTAAGTTACCAGGAATGAGTCCATAATGTAGCCTAAATATACATGGAAATGCATTAAAACTTACCATATATGTCCAATCTTTAATACATCCTTCTCCTCTAGTGTTCTTCGCCTTAAAGGTTGAGAAAGAATGCACCGGTCAACATTCTAAACATCATTCTGCAGCTTTTGAGCGTTTGTCTTGTGCAAAGTGAGTAACATATTGATTCAAGTTTCAAATTAACAATAATTTTAAAAGAGCTTTTTTTATATATATATAGAGATAGATAAATCATTCGTTTATGAAATCATGTTGGTGTAGATTCTTTTGCATAACAGTTCGAAATTTTCCTGGAAACGAATTTCCTGATTTATTTACATAATGTTAATGTTGCAAAAGGGTTGCACTGGTCTGCGCATATTGAAAGCCTATATCTGTACATTTAATTTTTCACTTATTTAAAGTTTCTTGGAAGTCTACATTAAAGCAAATGGGCTAATTTTAAGTGAATTATGAATGTGGATTATTATATTCTATATATATAGAATGTATAGAATATAATATGCCAAATAAACCAAACTAACAGGATTATTATCAGTTGCATATCTAGACTGTTGGATTCTGGTTTGCTAGTTTATCTTAGTTTAGATGCAATCATAAAAGTGTCAACCACCACCAGAGAGGAAGCAACTGCTCTTTCACAATATTTCGAAAAGCTACATGGAAGTTCTATAAGAAGAACTGACAGTGAACTACATCAGTTTGGTCAAATGAAATTCAAGCGTTGGTTAGCTGATAAGAGTTCGTTTCTGAAACTGTATAAAAAGTTATTAATTAATAAAATGATCTGCTTCATAATGATTTATGTATTTACTGTTTTTCTCAGTCGAAACTGCATGGACACGTACCCCACATTTCTGGCAGTACTGTGGTGCGCTGGTATCTGCCTCAGCCAAGGTACAATTCAATTCATCACATTCGTTATTTAAAAAAAAAAGTAATTTAAGTGATTGAATAAACACGTAATCAAGTTTTTTTTTTTATATATATATATATATATAAGTGAAAGTGCCTTTTTTATTTTCTGTGTTATTTTTAACTTTCACTACAATATAGTGATAGGATCAGACCAAAGAAAATACCCCTTTGTAATGTAGTAGAAATGGTTTGCATTTCCTGACTAGTAATTTCTTTTATGAACCATGTGCAAATATTTGTCTACATAACTTAAGCTCTATTTTTGAATACCACTGAAATAGTAATTGAGTTGCTAAGGAACCGACGCATATATAATAAGAGTCAGCCCTAATAAAATCCCCCTACGTGAGAAAATTACCTGTACAATAACTTTCTTGGAAATGATCCTATATCATTTAAATAAGAACACTTTCAAAGTCATTAAACCATTTTTGTAACAGCTCCAGCTGCCTTTGCTGGCATTATCTACCTTGTGGTCCGGCAGAAGTACTTTGTTGGCTACTTGGGGCAGACTTGCCAGAGGTAAGATTTTTAAACGTACAAATCCATAACTGTGAACAAATAAGCCCTTTTGAACATCAAAAATATGTTTTCTTGTGCTAAAGATGCATTAGAGTAAACTGACCTTAAAACTACATGAAACACAAATGTGCTGTTATGCATTCCAACAGCATTAGATGTTGCCTAAAGTTAATCTCAATACAAAGGTTAGTCATTAAACTATTGCAGCTGTATGATATGGGTACAACTTAAGTGATTACATCACTTAAAAGTTTCAACCCTGGATTTTGCTTTAAACAGACACATCAACCACATGTTGTAACCCAGCTGTGTTTTAAACACACCAGACTTGTTGACAGATATTCTGCTTGTATGCCTGACAGCACTCCCGGCTTCCTGTTTGGGAAACGCATCCTCTTCTTCCTGTCACTCATGTGTGTTGTGGGAATCATAAATCACCTGATGCTCAGCTATGGTGGCAGTGACTACAAAGAGTACATCCAGACCATCACCAAAGCAGCATCAACCCTTCTGCTCTTGCCCTGAACTGTTCCATACAGATTTAACAGCAGCTGAAACAGTAGTGCAAACACATCAGTGTAGATAAGATCTTTTGGTTAATGGTTTGTCAGTTAGTGAGAGGATGTGGCAAGAAAAGTGTGAAGCGTTCACAGTGATGATCACAAAGGCATTTCATTGCAAAATGATATGTACATATTACAAACCTTTACAAATCAACAAACGAAGATTTAAAAAAAGGCTGTTTTTACCATTAATATCCCAGTATAAGGTATTTGAAGAAATGTTTTAAATGGGTCATATCATGGTTTAGTTTTTTTTCCATCAAGGTCAACATGTAAGGTTAGTAAAGATTTGTCAAAAAAAGTTTAGTTTTCATAACCTATTTCACACCTCTCTTTGAACTTTAGATTTGAATGGTCAAGGCTTACTGTGCCTTTAAAAGCGCCAAGTTCTGCTCGCACACCAGATTGCAGGTTTCCTGCTGTGTGAAATATAGTTCAGCAAAATCCTCAGCCTCTTTGCGAAGTCTGCATTACATGACAGGATTACAAACTAATCAGTGCTGAAATGTCAGACTGAAATTATTAGGTATAGTATAACTAACTACACATTTCTATTGATTCTCTGGAAGTACATGCAGAGTGTAGGTGCTACACAGCACAAGAAATGTGTAAAACTAGAGTATAGCATGTTTTACTCTGTGTGACATCAAAAGTTTTGAAATTATTTATTTGTTTGGCTTGATTTCAGTTATCCGAAAAGATAAAGGAAAATTTGATTCCTCATGATATGACCCATTTAAAGCAATGAATGGAACACATTCGGGCACTTTTGCATAAAGTGACCCATTTAAAAAAGTATTGTAACTATCTTGTGTTTGCTAGTTTACAATGTGAGGATGTAAATCTTTCTGCTTCAACAGAATTATAATTAAGATTAAATTCCAATGATCTCCATTTCTTTATGAATTTTTTATTTTGTATTACTGCTGACATAAAGTTTTATTTACAATAAAACAGTCCTTTAAGATGTTTTAATGGTCTCCTCATCTGGGGCTTCAGTTTCCACAGACCGAAGCCTGTTTTCGGAAGATTTTTGCTGTTTCACAGAACATTTTGGGTGTTGATCTCCTCTTCCATGGTAAGAAACCTGCTAGATCAGATATCCAGTCATATTCTCAATACTAGAACTCATCAGAGGCCTGCTCATTTATTAAAACACACCTTGAACTGTCGTTTGCTGAAGCCGAACCAGTAGGGAAAGTCAAAAAGGGCGTCAGAACGGTACTTGATGATGAAATGTGTGTCTTTCCAGATGGGTTTCACCTTTTTTCCATCAACAAGGATTTGAAAGCTCTCACCGACCCATCCCTGTAGTGCAGCACTAACATCAACCTTAACACACACACACACACACAATCATTTACTTTTAATTCATTTTTTACATTTCCAGAAAAAGGCCACTAAACTTGTACATCATAAATCATTGAAAAACAGAAGTCTCCACTACAGAGAAACTCACATCAACTGTATAACTCTCTCCAGCAACAGATGAAATAGTCATGTCTAAGCCTCTCTCCATCTCCCATCTGATCATTGGATGACTGCCGTTGATCGCCACCACATAATATCCAAGAGCTATAGACAATAATAAGAAGGGTGAGGAGTTTGACTTTACAAATACAGCATGCAATGGTGTCAAAGTTTAATGATACCTTCCCTGTTGACACTGTGACACAGCCATATTGCATTTCCTGTTATGATAAATTTTTACAACTGTAGTGCTTAGAAATAAGATTTGTAATCTTTTTTTAAAGAAGTCTCTTCTGCTCATCAAGGCTGCATTTATTTGATCAGAAATACAGAAAACAGTAATATTGTGAAATATTATTGCAATTTAAAATAAAGGTTTTCTTTTTTAATATACTTTAAAATATACTTTATTTCTGTGATGCAAAGCTGAATTTTCAGCATCATTACTCCAGTCTTTAGTGTCACATGATCCTTCAGAAATCATTCCAATATGCTGATTTATTATCAATGCTGGAAACAGTTATTATATTTATATACAGTTATATATATAAAACAGTAACACAATATTACTCTTTTTTTTCTGTATTTCTGATCAAATAAATGCAGCCGTGATTTGCAGAAGAGACTTATTTAAAAAAACAGCATTTATTCAAAATATAAATCTTTTCTAACAATATAACACTTTGCTATCACTTCTTAACAATTAAACACATCCTTGCTGAATAAAAGTTTAAATTTCTTTCAAAAAAGAAAGAATAGAAATTTACTGACCCCAAACTTTTGAACGGTAGTGTATATTGTTAGAAAATATTTCGGTAACACTCCTCTGTTTGCATGTCAAAAAGTACATTTACAAAGTCCGTTTTTAAAACTGTTCACTTAAATGGTTATGCCAATAATGTATTTCATAATATTTGTTTTTTAAATTAAAAAAATGACTAAACGACCACAGACTTTGTGTGTATATATATATATATATACATACACAGTATATATGTACATACAGTATGCTGATAGAATTATGCCTTTTTCAGAATACTGTATAATTTTGTCATTTTAATATACATTTATTTATTTTAATATATCATTTTATGTATGTATACAGTACACACTACACATCAATCTCCTCTGTTTATACGTAAAAACACATCCAAGTTAATTTGCAGAAGCAGGTCAAAGACTTTCACTGTGTGAAATATTAATAATAAAAAATCCTGCCTGTAACATCTCCGTTTCTCTTTTCTTCGACCTTTGATTTGGTGCATGCGGACACCAGGATGTATGTTGTTTTTGAGGTTAGCTGTCGTCTCAAATCTGTGTACTCTCCCAAAGTACGTACTATGACATTCTTGAAATGGCCAAGAAGACAGCAGGGACTGGCGCTCTCTCTGGCAGCGGCAGGTCGCAGCGCCACTTCCGGTGGCATCCCCAGCTGCCACTACTAGTCGTTACTAGTCGTTTCCGGCAGCTGCCAGAGTTCGTGGTAGCTGCCGTTTCTGCTGTTTGCTCGGTAAAACTACACTGTACTCAGTGGCGTGCGGTGATGTTTTTTTTTAAATGATGATGCAAAGTTCCCACAATTGTATTATTATTATTATACATTTTTATGTATCAGTTGCCATAGTTCTTGCCAGGAGTCAAAGGCAGCTGCCAGAGTTCGTGGCAGCTGCCACGGTCTTTCTCGCCGTTCCTGCTGTTTGCTCGGTAAAACTACACTGTACTCAGTGGCGTGCCGCGTGCGGTGGTGTTTTTTAAAATGATGATGCAAAGTTCCCACAATTGTACTATTATTATTATACATTTTTATGTAGCCTATCAGTTGCCAGAGTTCTTGCCAGGAGTCAAAGGCAGCTGCCAGGGTTTTTCTCGCCGTTTCTGCTGTTTGCTCGGTAAAACTACACTGTACTCAGTGGCGTGCGGTGGTGGTGTTTTTAAAATGATGATGCAAAGTTCCCACAATTGTATTATTATTATTATACATTTTTATGTATCAGTTGCCATAGTTCTTGCCAGGAGCCACTATTCGTTTCTGGCAACTGCCACGGTCTTTCTCGCCGTTTCTGCTGTTTGTTCGGTAAAACTACACTGTGTATACTATATACAGGGGCGTAGCCATCATTTCAGAAGTGAGGGGGACAGAAATGTTATATATATATATATATATACACACACTGGCAGCTGCCAATGGCAGCTGGGGATGCCACCGGAAGTGGCGCTGAGACCTGCCGCTGCAAGGATTTGCGCTTGCTCTCTCTCCAAGAAGAATTACAAAAGCAGGCTATATCTAAACCTGCATATTGTCACATGACGTTATTTAAATCCATTTACCTTCCTGGAGAATTACAGAAAATCACTTTTCCCTCGCTAGACTGGCTCTCATCGATGAACACGCAGCTGTTCTCCTGATCCCACTTCACGACTCTGCAGCCCGCGCGACTCTCGAAACAGTGAATCCGAGAGGAGGGCTGTTCACGAACGACTCTAGCTCGATAACGTCCATAACAAAGCCCGAATTCATGCTTTCGCGCATTTTCATTCTTTTGTAACTTATAGAGTACAAATCCGAGTGTTCGTCCAGCGCATGAGTCGTTCTTCGCTTTGATTTGGTGGGAAGTGGAGCTGGTTTATGAATCGGCATCAGAGGCAACTGGGTCATCCTGTAGTTCAGTACAGAGCAGTAAAACATTACTGTGACGGGAAGTTTGAGTTATAGCACCTGTAATACTGATTTAGGAGGGTGACCTCATATTAAAACACTCACAGAGCAAACAGTGTTTTACATCATGGTAAATGTAGTAATTTAGTACATCTTTGCTTTTAGTCAAATTAAAAGTAAGTTAAGCTCCAGCAGTGCAATAGCGTTTCCCTGAGGGACCTCTCACTTTAGGATTATTCAAGTCGCTAACAGCTTTAACTAGTCTTAAACTGGTTTGCAGACTACCAGGCTGATCTATGGATGGTTTTAGGAAGGTTTTGGGTGATTTTTAGGCTGGAATACCCAGTTTGGCCAAGCTGGGACCCTCAACAAACTAGCTGATTTCCGTAACTTGAATACGTGTATATAAACCTCTAAAGATGAATTTGATTGTAGTTTTGATAGTTGTTTTAAATTAGTTGTAGAGTCAGTTTTACATTAACCATAAAATTCCCCATATTTTTCTATTTCTTACAGAATTCTTTTCCACTTACTCAAGGCAGGCAGGGATGGTAGCTGGTTTTGAACCATTTCATGCTGTTCCAAATCCAGAACTGGTTTAAGTGGTTAAACCGACTACAAGAGCGAAAGGAATGGTAAGCCATGCTGTTTGTGACCTGGTTAACCACAACACAGCTTGAACTGATTGACCTCATTTTAGACTGTCATATGACCTGAAGTTCCAGTAAAGTATAAAAATATAAAAAAGTTGTTGCAGTGATGTTGTGATAATGTTTCACACTTTTCTGTTTTTATATTCCTTATCTTGGTTTCAACTAAAAATTCCAGTTGGCCAGATCAAGACATCTAAACCAAGTGATGGTTAATACATTTGAGCCTACCCTCAACATTTAAATAAATGCTGTTCTTTTGGTCATCCTATTTATCAAGGAATCCTGAAAAAAATGGATCAGTTTCCACAAAAATATGAAGCAGCACAACTGTTTTCAATATTGATAATAATATGAAATGCTTCATCAGCAGCAAATGAATACTTGAGCATGAAATCAGCATATTAGAATGGTTTCTGAAAGATCATGTGATTAAAGACTGGAATAATGACTGATGAAAAATCAGCTTTGTATCACAGCAATAAATTACGTTTTTAAATAGATTTAAATAGAAAAGTTATTGTAATAGTATTTTACAATATCACTGTTTTTACCCTATTTTTGATTTTAAAAAACGCAGCCCTGTGAGCATGCGATTTCTTTCAAAAACATAAAAATTGCAGATGGCAAACTCTTGAATAGTAGTGTATACATATGCAGACATCTATAATAAATGACATTCAGTCATAAAATAAGATCGAAAGCCGACGCAACAACACTTTTAAAAACGATGCATGAACGTGAACATCAAAAATCAAAGTCAAACGCAAACCAGACAAGTAACAAAGAGAAGTAAAAAATTTATTGCAGTATTTGCTCCTCCACACATGATGGGGGTCCCTCGTCCCGCTGTGGGGTGGAGACCCAAACGCTGACCCAGTACATCAAAATCTACATTTACAAAAAAAAACTCCCTTCCATGTAGGCGAAAGATACTGCATGCTCTGCTTTCAACTGAATAAATTATGTCCAGGAGACTCCATTTTACAGCACAAAAGAAGTAAAACATAAAGCAGAGGAGATGTTTAAAAGTTTATTTCCCTGGAAACTGAGCTAAGCTAAAGAAATCCAACCGGTGCTAGGTTAAACTCCAAGGTCACTTTATTAAGAACATCAACAGACTAATTTCCAACATTCACTTTAGGTTTATTTCTTTGAACAGATTTTTTTTTTTTTCGTCAGAGATATAAACATTTTTTGTTTCCGTTTTGTGTTAAACTATGATACAGTGGAGGGGAAAAAAATTCAAACAACCAAGTTGCTGCACAACAGCGAAGGAGCTCTGTTTCTTTCTTTTCCGTTTAACTTAAAAGATGTACAGGATTCACATCTACATTTCCAAACAGACCACTCTTTTAAAATCGTCGTTCCTTAATTTGACCAGTTCCGCGTTGGATCTTAAAACCTGTGAGTCTGTAGTTCTCTTTTCTCTCCCGACTTATGTTTACAAAACGTTAAATCCTGATGAAATTTGGCTGCTGAGAGTTTGTTGGGTGTAACAGTTCGAGAGTTAATTAGCTGGAAGTTCCTTCCTTGGCTGCGTACAGTGAACGTAAAGTCTGCACTACTTTGTTGGTCAGTTTGTGCGCGCTTGTCAAGGCAATTTTCTTGTAAATAATGTCAGACTCCTTTATAGTGTCCACCCAAGGCACCAGTTTACGTCCGTTGCGTTTCTTGGCCTCCGCCCAGGTGCCGGAGTACGACCCGGCCATCCAGCGAATGCTGTAGCCTGTGCTTGTCTTATGAATAACACGCGCTATCTGCGGCCGGTCCTTATACTTGGGGCAGCAGATAGCGATGACGTCCATGGCTTCTAAAGTTTCGTTCATGTGACCTGATGCCTCTGCGGAATCTCCGCCTCTCCTGGATCTCCGTGATGACTAGAAGAGAACAAACACATGGTGTTTTCAAGTGACGGTAACGCAAGACATCAAGAGTCGAATGAAAACATCAGCATCTGGGCTTTCTTACCCCAGGAGCCTTTTCGTCCGCATCACTGTCGTCATCGTACGAGTCGGCAGCATTATTCTTGGGGCTGGACCCTCCTAGTAGAGCAGTGATAGCTTTATTTCTGGCGTGGATACTGGCTGAAGCCTCCCCTTCCTCCTCTTCCTCATCTGGGTCCAAGTGCTCCATCAGAACCTTAAACTGTGGAATAAAACATTTAGAGATGGTCAGTTTGACTCATTTTTGTGAAACAGTACAAAAAAAATATTTTTTGTAATATATAAATTCAAGACAATTCAATGAGCTCTTTGTGTCAAAAAATCTTCAAGTTCAAGACATTTTTTTCTTCATATATTAAATGTCTATTAAATGACTTATTTTAGCATTATTTATATAGTATTATTATCTTTATTCATATTTTAAATGACCTTATTTGTTATATATTTGTAGTTTTTATTTAAATTTTAGTAATTTTGCTATGTCATTTTAAATAGAAAAAAAACTATTTAGCCTAATTTTTATAACTTAAATTTATTTCTAATATTTATATTTTATTTGAGCTTTATTTCAATTAATGAAAATTTGTAATAGTTTGTTTTAGTTAATATCAATACTGGTTTTACTTTTTTTATTGTTGAGTATATAAAAATACATATTCATATTTTCATATTATGCACATATTAAACCATTTAATATATATTAAATCATTCTTCTTTGTCCTTTAATAAAAAAAAATCATTAATGATTATTAAATGAAAATGAAAAATGATGATATTAATGATTATTAATTATTGAAAAATAACATGCCCCGATTATTTGACTGAAAAAAGCAACAAATCAAAAACATGAAAAATGGATGGAAAAAATAAATTAAATCTTTAATTTTCAAGCTATTTCAGAGCAAAAAAAAAAAAAAATATATATATATATAATATATATATATAAACAGGTAAAAAAAGACAGAAAAAATGTAAATAAATTTAAAAAATTCTAAATTTTTTAAAATTATGAACAGAAGAATAGATTTTTTTTATTTTTTATAACTCAGCCTTTCTAAACAGCACCGTATGAGGCAAAACACAAATAAAAAGTGAAAACCAGAATGTTTACATCTAATTAAAAGCTAATATTAATAAATAAATGATTAATAATTAATATAAATAAATTAATAAATGAGTATATAAATAACTCTTAAATAAAACTGTCTACACCGTTTTTTTAATAGCATTTTTTAGAATTAAATTTCTAGAATTAGCCCTAAAAAATGTTTATAAAATAAAATAAAAAAATAAGGGCTAACAAGCTTGGAATCAAATGTTGGTTTGTAGATACTAATCAATTTATATCTGCCCTAAATTAAGAAGATTTATATCTACCATCATGTTATTAAAAAAAAGAAAAAAAAAAAAGAACACTTTTTCTAGACTACTATGGGTTTAAGAGAGTTGCAGTAAAAGGATAGAAATTCAACACACTGAGTGGTTGAAAAAGCACCACACCTCTTTGAAGGACTGCAGCAGGTTGCTGCCGGACACTGATAGTGTGATGTCTACATGGTGCATAATGAACAGCGGCTCTTCCTGACTCTGATATGGGAAGCAGGCGAGATTGTCTGCGACATACAACAGCATGTTCACGTCTGACTTCTAAATGGGAAGAAAGCAAAACAACATTATTCAAGAAACACTATATGAAAGCATAAACTGTAGTTACAGAAGATAATATAAAATAAAATATACCATAGAGTGACACATAATGCAAAACATTAAAAAAAGGTCACTAACCGCGCTGTCATCAAACAGGTTGAGCAGCGAGATGAGGAAAGCCCTGCGGTGTTGCCTGTTTCCACGCACCAAAAAATACTAAATTTTTTAAAATTATGAACAGAAGAATAGATTTTTTTTATTTTTTATAACTCAGCCTTTCTAAACAGCACCGTATGAGGCAAAACACAAATAAAAAGTGAAAACCAGAATGTTTACATCTAAATACTGTCTGACGACTCTCCTCTTGACATCGTAAGTAAGATCTGCATTGGACAGGCTGTTCGTCAGGTAGTCTAGTGTCTGCCGTGGGTTGAAATGCACATGGGCCTTCCTGTTTACAGCCTTATCATAAACCTTTGCAGATTCTGTAGGTGAGTACTTCTGAATTTTACTGCAGGAAGAGACAAAGAGGCGTTTGTTATGAAGCCAGGGCCATGAACACATTACAATAGTCATTTCAGACCAGAATGCATTTGGACTAGCGATTAAAGCTCACCTGTCAGAGAAGCCGTAGAGGTTCTTAAGGTGCTGCTTGAGCATCAGGAGCAGCAAGATGCCCTGAGAGGCGTTAGCAAAGTCCAATAAGGGCTCGGGGTTGTCGGGTAGACGCAGCATGATCTTGTCCACGTCCTCCAAGTCGAGGTCTGAATCTGAGTCAGAGTTCACTGCAGCGGATCGTCTGGGG